TTCAACAGAAATTGGTATCATTAAAAGAGAAGCTCAGATATAGCACAAGTCATTTTATTTTAAAATATTTCCTTTCCTCCTCCCAACCTCCGCCCACCAAAAATGTTTGAAGAAAATAATAAATTCACCAAAGGGACTTGCATCCAGTTCATAGCTAAAAGCTGCATTTTAATTTTTCCCACAGTCCTCTCACCAGCTAATGTATACAAGTTACGAGAGCTCCCCCTCTCCTTCTTCTTGATTGACCTTGTTTCTCAAGAGAAAAGTGTATTTTAAATTATATGTTTCACTCTAGGGCCTTTTAAATAACATCAACTACCATTCCTGTAGATTTCAAGTACGTACATGAAGTTTGGAATTTTCCTGTTCTTCACTTGGACTGTTCTACCATAAGAGCAGTTTGAAGTAAGCAAGCGCACTATGGCCGGGGTGGGATTTAATGTGACCCTCCAAATCTGGTGGGACTCCAACTCCCATGAGCCCCAGCCAACCTGGCTGTCAGGGATGATGGGAGTTGTAGTTCAGCAACATCTGGAGGGCCAAAGGTTAACCACATCTACCCTACGGTGACACGAAACACAGTAGGCAACAAATTCTCTTCTGGGGAGCTTTGAGTCCTCCTCCCCTGTCATTCATGCATTTGTTGCCTGTCCTTCTTTCCATCTGAACCCTGCTCAGCCTTGAAATGCAATGGGTGGCTATGGACCAGTTGCTGTCTCTCAGCTTAAGGGGGCTGTGAACATAAAATACGGAAAACTCCATTGCAACACCTTGTGCATTAGTGGAAGGATGAGATAAAAATCTAGTGTGCAATAAATACAACAAAACAATTCCCCCCCACTTCCTCTCTCATAATACTAGAATCCGGGGTCATGCAATGAAGCTGAATGTTGGAAGATTCAGGGCAGTCAAAAGGAAGGTTTTTTTTCACATATAACATATCCCAAATTCAAACCCTCCAGGTGTCCCTGTTTTCCAGGGACAGTCTCGGATTTACAGAATCAGTCTTGGTTTCTGATTTGATCCCAGAATGTCCCGCTTTTCTTTAGGACCTCCCTGTTTTCACTGTAGAAATGCTGGAGGATATGGAATTAAGCGAACCCTGAGCCAAGGAGATAAGTAATTATACAACCTTTAGAAGACATCTGAAGGCAGCCCTGTATAAGGAAGTTTTTTAATGTTTAATGTTTTTATATGTATTGGAGGAAGCCGCCCAGAGTGGCTTGGGCAACCCAGTCAGACGGGTGGGGTATAAATAGTAAAAATTTGTAATGATTTGTCAGGTCTCTGGACCGTAATAAAGATTGATTGATTGATTGATTGATTGATTGATTGTAAAACTGTTGTTGTTGTTGTTGTTGTTAAACAGGACGTCCCTATTTTCATTTGAGAAATGTTGGAGGGTATGAGGATGTAGTAATGGACACTAACCTAGATGTCTTGAAAAGACAGACAAAGTCCTGGAGGATAAGGTTACCAAAGGCTACTTCTAGTTGTGGCAGCTATATCTTAAATTCAGGATCAGAGGAAGCATGTTGTGGGGATCACAACTGAGAGAGTGTCAAGTCCTGCGTTCAGGCTTCCCAAAGGCAGCTGGTTGGCCACTGTGAGAACAGGATGCTGGACTAGTTAGTTCTTTGGTCTGGTCTGATATTACTCTATCAAAAATAGAATGTATAATAAAAATTTAAAAAGCACAAAAACACTCATCCCAAACAAACTACTTCCTGACAACATGAAACAAATTACACCCTGGATTTCAAAAGCACTAACGGTGAGCTGCCATTCCATTATTTCAAGAACAGCAACAAAGATGCTTTTTTCTTCAGTTTGAGGAAAAAGTGAAAAGGGCACAGGAGAGCAATTATTTGATGACAGTGACATGTAGGTGACCCATAAATAGTGAATTAACAGAATGTGGCTATTTCACAGTATATGTCTCATATGCAAGCATCCACTCTTAGGTTTCTTCCAATTCCTGAGCCCATTCCATCCAGAGATCCAGTTTTGTAATGAGAAAAACTGAATGATGCCACAATTTGTCTTCCAGCTTTGTAATGCAGAGTCATAGGATACAACAATACTACAAATTATAAAATAAACAGTGGTCTCTTTCATGACACATCAAGAAGCAGAAGAATGAAAATTAATCATTTTATTTGTAAGAAGCTATTCATTTGGTCCTGGTTAATAGTCCCCATAGATTCTACCCAACAGACACAAAATAGCTCAATTAAATGTGTTGCGAAAATTGGATTGATGAACTCTTGAAAGGTTAAGAACCTCATTTTGAATGCTCTTTTGCCTATATTATTGACCTCAAATGCTAAGGTAATAAATCTGTTTTATGATAATCATGTCCAACTCATTTAGGCAAACCAGCTGATTGTGACAAAGCTACATCTTGCAATAATTATGAAAGAACACTCATCCCCCATCTTTAAGTGCTTCTGACAATCAAGGGAATTCAAGAAAGGGAGAAGTGGAAACTCATTATGTTGACCATGGGGAAAAATCTTCTCCCACAGCACTCACAGGGTATGATCCAGGGCTTCTCCTGCAGGCCAATACACATCATACATGCAGTGGGGGGTTGAAAGGAAGTATAAGCTAATGTGTGATCAGGATCCTCTGAACGTGTGCTCCAGAGAAACACACTTCACATGCAACGAAACCTCTTACGCACATCACATGGAAGAAAATTGGGAGTCCGGGTCATGGCTATTGATTTCAGAATTCAATAAATGACCACTTATCAGTGCTATTTTTCTAGAAAAAGAGGTGCCAGAATTCACCATGAATGCCTGCCTTGTTCTCTTACAATGGCAAGGGCGATCACCTGAAAACTGCCTGAACTGAGTTCTTGTGAGTTCCCCCTGAAAAAGCCCTGTCTATGATCCTTGTGCAGGAGCCCCAAACTCAGGAAGCAGGCAAGAGAGACTAAAGGTTGGTGGCTGAGGAGGCAGAAGGAATCTGCAACCATTTGGTCCACCATAATTCCACAGCTCTGTGTAAATCAGATCACAGGTCGCTCTGTGCATAGCTGCCCTAGTAACCACAGACTTGTGCTCAAGCCACCTTGAGCAGTACCGGGGACTTCCCTGGTAAGAAATAAAAGGCACGATTTTATTTTTAGAAGTAAGCAGTGCAGTTTTCAACTGCATACGCTGCTACTGAGTTATGCACATGGGTTTCACAATGTGATGCTGAGAGCAACATGACCAAAAGGCACAAAACGATATTCAAGAAGCAAGCCTAAGGGTAGACCTTTCTGCATATTGCTTGGCCTTAAGCCCAAGTTGTCTGCTGAGTGAGCTGCCTTGCATCAGGTGAGATTACTTGCCCATCCTGCTACCCAGGCAGGCCATGGCTTTCCAGGGCCTCAGGAAAAGGTCCTTCCCATTACCTGCTAAGTGATTCTTTTAACTGGGTGCCAGGGATTAAACCCTAGATATTCTGCTACCAACGTTAGCTCTCTAAAGAGTACACCTGTAGGATGGGTGCATTTTCAAACATCTGTTAAGACTCATTCACACACCATCATTTTGGGGGAGCAGGCATCCTAACCAATAACAAGCACACCCAACTGTATACCCCCCAAAATCTATTGGTGTTAGGCAAGCACCTTTAATTCTTTAATTTGGCACCTGCTAAAAACTTTTTTGTTCAGACAAGCTGACCCAGACATGTCATTTTATTATGTACATTTATTTTTAATTTGTACATTTAACTGTTGGCTTCATTTCTATTTTCATAATTGTATACTGTTTTTAAACTCTCAAATTATTAATTTAAATGAATATTTCATATCATTTAATGCAAGCTGCTTGGAGATTTTTTAAATTGAGCATTATATAAATTTTGCTGAAAATACATAAAGTCAATGCATCATGTGCAAGCAGCCAACAGAGGGTGCAAGCCATAGCAAAAAAAAACAACCCCAAAAAACCTAGGTAACAGGGTAAGCTTGACACATATTTCTTGTTACAATAAAAAACAAGCAGATAAGAGTGAAGCACATTAGGTACGCAATTAATTTCCTCCAGATGGCTGCCAAGGCTGCTTCAGAAAAGTGAGGAGATGCTTATAAAAAGATACGTTTTTTTATAAAAAAAAAAGACAAATTTTGAGTGTATGTGATCATGCAGCAATAGCTAAACACCCTTCTCTCTCCCTGTGTTGCAGGGAGAGACTTTGGTAAGCAAATTGTGTCTTGAGGAGCCAGGTGTGTTTATTAGCCTTGGGCCCTTGAAAGACGATAAATTTGTCATGGGAAATGAAAGACGGCTGTCTTGGAGAGGAAAGTTGGCTCTCATTCTCTAACACTTGTGCATGCACATGAGGCTCCAGGATGCTGTGCCCCCTTTAGCAATTCATAAGCCATTATGGACTATTTAAGTGCTTTAGCGAGATGATTTCTCTATCTTAACCGCAAGCACATCGCTCCATAGCAATAGGCTGAAGGGAACACCTGCCCTCTCAGCTACATTTCAACTCTGTACAGGGGATACGAAAGTCTTTCGGCAGAAGCATCAAGACCCGATTAAAAGGCACGGGGAGGGGGACACTTCCCTCGTCTTCAAGCACAAGAAAGATGCGATCCTACTCCTTTTGTCATGAATAGAGGCTGGGGGGGGAATGAAGTATCTGTTGGGTTTGGTTACCATGGCAATCACCCCCACTTGGAAGGTCCAGAGATCTTAGTATGTTGACAGAATGATTTGTAACGGAGTTGCTTAAAAAAATAAAAAGATAAATAAATAAAAAGGAGCTGTTCATCATATTTTGACTGAAACAACTCATTTTTAGCATTTGCTTTTTGCCTTTTCTTTCAAGTGCAGGACATAAAAGCTACCATTTATTATGACTACAGGCACCAGGAAGAATGGCTAGAGATTATTTACTGCCCTTACATGCCCTCCGGCGTCTCGCAGATGAAAGCAGGAATAACTCCGGCACATGAGTGACGATGCTATGAGGGGCAGAATCCCACAGCGGTCCTGTAGCTCAGAGGCAGAGCATCAACTTTGTGTGCAGAAGGTCCTAGGTTCAATCCCCAGCATCTATGGGTGAGGCTGGGAGATAACCCTGTCTGAAATCTTGGAAAGCCATGACTAGTCAGGACAGGCAGCACTCAGATAGGTAGGCCCATGGGTAACAGTATAAGGCTGCTTCCTGTGTTCCTTTTGTACAAATCCTAAAACAGGCTTCCTCAACCTTGGCCCTCCAGATGTTTTGAGACTACAATTCCCATCATCCCTGACCACTGGTCCTGCTAGCTAGGGATCATGGGAGTTGTAGGCCAAAAACATCTGGAGGGCCGAGGTTGAGGAAGCCTGTCCTAAAACATCAGGAGATCTTCCTATAATGTTCAATTATGAACCTTCGTGAGAATAAAATGCAGATGATGTTCAAAGGTGGGGTACTTAGAAGTACTGTAAATAAATACGAAACATATCTTTGATACTTAGGGCTGGTTCACACATGGCCTTGACTGTAAGTTGCCTATATGGTGCAATGTGGTTGCAAGACTCAGGTTTGCATGTTCTACCATAGGCAATAAATTGCAGGTGTTAATATTGTGCAGCATGAAGCAAGTGGATGCATAAAAGCTGACTCCTTTTGGAATAAAAATTGTCCAGACCCATAAGTATTAGTCAAAGCTTTGCTAACCAGAACTTCTTCAAAACAGGTACAGAAACAATCCATGATACATCCATAAAGTTGGATAAAGCATTTGCCTATTCAAACATAGGTTCTTCTTCTTAAATATATAATTATGATCACAGCACAGAGCTCTGTCTCGCCCATAGGTAGCATCAACCTGCATCCAGCCTAAGGCTATGCAGCTCCTTGAGAGGCTTCACAATCACATCATTCTCTCACTCTACCTGGAAACAAAAGGCAAAGCCAAAGTGGCGGATTTCCAGCTGAATACCTTCATCGCATGATCTATGGTTAAACACTCACGGCGCCTCCTTACTAACCACACCGCAGTGGCATCCACACCTCAGAGGCACATGGTTCTCCAAACAAGCGGACTAGATTCAGTTCAAGAAAACATTATTTTGTTATTGCTGTTATTATTACCTTTCATTATATCTCACAATTCCTCCAAGGAGCTCAGGGTTCTTGGTTCTCCCTGCCCCTCAAATGTTAGTCCACTGTATTAATTCAATACTCTTACTACTTGGCTCTTTTTTCCCTCCTGCATCCACAATTTTTTACATCTTTGTTGGTGCTTAAAATGTGCAGAAGACCCTCGTGTTCACAGACCAAGAGGAATCTAAACGAGGAAGAGCATCCAAGAGTTAACTAGTCACATAAAAGAATCATTAGTGGAAATATTACTGGATTAACTGTCCATGCTAAATACTTGCACCAGACCAGGCTAGATCTCAGGATTTCTACACCCACCCTCTGCATTCTATCCACCACCGACTTCTTTAAAGTGTTTTTCCCCCCTCTACACATTCAAATCAAGATATTCTCGCTTTCAAGGGGCTCTGTGAATTGTTTGCAAATCATTGTGTGCAAATGAGGTATTTCACAGGCTTTAAAAATATTTCTTGCTAGGTACTATTATTGCTACCAGAGACACTTATCAACATAGTCTAATCTTGGCTTCTTGAGAGAGTTCTTAGATTTCTTAAGAGCTGCTGCTGCTCATTTCTCAGTTAAAGTAATAAACCTCTGGCTGTGTTATAGCTGCCTGGTTGTTCTGGAGAAAGCTGCCGCGACAGGCAAATGAGCTAGGTAATGGTATCGTATACAGGGCACAACAATCAGCCTGGTGGAGGGGGAAAGTGTGTGATCCCTAATAACTTCCCATGAAACCTCATTCTGTTCTCTTTTATACTGAAGTAAAATTTGTGTGGGTGTGCAAGGGTGTGTGTGCATTTGGGGGGGATTCACTGAGGTTATCCTGCCCCCCCCCAATTGTTGTGGCTGTTTTTTACCAGTCTCTTCATACAAAAGAAAGGGACGTGGGTGGCGCTGTGGGTTAAACCACAGAGCCTAGGACTTGCTGATCAGAAGGTCGGCGGGTCGAATCCCCACGACGGGGTGAGCTCCCGTTGCTCGGTCCCTGCTCCTGCCAACCTAGCAGTTCGAAAGCACGTCAAAGTGCAAGTAGATAAATAGGTATCACTCCGGTGGGAAGGTAAACGGCGTTTCCGTGTGCTGCTCTGGTTTGCCAGAAGTGGCTTAGTCATGCTGGCCATATGACCCGGAAGCTGTACGCCGGCTCCCTCGGCCAATAAAGTGAGATAAGCGCCGCAACCCCAGAGTCGGTCACGACTGCACCTAATGGTCAGGGGTCCCTTTACCTTTACCTCATACAAAAGAAAATATCCGAAAGTGACTTGACAAGATGAAATAAATAAAAGCCAATTTAAAACCGGGGGGGGACGGGACAATGGACAACACAAAATACTCCTCTAATAACATATTAATAAGGAGAAGTCCTATTTCACTAAAAGATGAGCATCAACATAGCTGGCAATGTCATTACCAAGAGACTGAGTAACAAAGTTCTTAGCCAGGTGCCTGGTGGCTGACAAGGACGGTGCCTGGTGTGTCTTCCTAGGGAGAACTTCTCATGGGTGGTGGGGACACCACTGGAAAGGCCCATCCTTGTGTGACCACCTTCCATGCATCTCCTCAGGTGGGGCACACAGAGAAGGGCTAGCTCAGTATAAAATGACTAGTGTTTTCATTGGTCTGTTATTTTGTCCAGTTTTATTTTAGTTTACAAATAACCAGAAGACATGACCATCCAGAGGGAACTATTTCCAAAAAGGACAGGAGTTGGGTCTGATCTCTCCACCATTTTAAATTGTTTTCCACAATGAGGAAAAAGGAAAGCCAGGGCATTCCAGTATCAAATCAGAAAGAGGAATGTCTTCTGCAATTCCAAAACTGTCCCTGGAAAATCCAAACACTTGGAGGGTATGAGAGAGGGAAAGTTTATGTTTTGGTTCATCCCCACCTCAAGTTATCTTAGTGACTTGTGAATTCCTAGAAGATATCTTGAAACTGACCACGCACATTGTGTTTGGGGTTGTTTTGAACTTGGCTTCCCAGCAGGCATGAATAGGATTTATGCTGGAGAAACTCCTCACTAGATTAATTATCACTGTGTGGAAGATCTTTATATAAAAAAAATACCAGATAGTTTACAGTAAAGTCTTCATCACATTAAAGAACCAACATCAGAACTTTTTCAACTCTTATTTATTTATGCACCACAAAGAGGAAACTCAGTAGGTTCATAGTAAGGCTGACATATGCCTTCTAACCAATTAGCATATTAATTTTAAATAAGTGTGCACATTACCAAAGCCTCAATAGAGTGGCCTTTGGGAAAAGCCACCTTTCAGTTTAATTAGTAAAACTCATCAGTCATCAATGGTAGAAAATAAGTTTTAATGTTCTCTTTCATTTATTACCAAAAGTAATCCAACTGATTAAAATTTGCTCTGATTAATCAACTAAAGCTTTAGTTGATTTGTCTACTGATCGAACAAATTAAAAGTTGCAGCCATGGGGTGAGATTCAGGCCACATTCAAACAGCACACCCCCGCCTGATTTTTAAGACGTTTCCTTACCTAATAATTTCCACATTTTATGTGATATTTCACATGGCATAAAAACCACTTCTGGAAAGCTCTCAGAATCTAGAGGAAGTTTAGCTCCCATTTCAATGTTATTTGCTTCCAGAAAAAAAAAAATCCATTTGCAACCCTCTTAACCCAGAAAATTGCAGTTCTGTGCTGCAATTTCATGGGGTGAAATTCCAGGTGGTATTCCAGAACGCAGCTCTTTCCCACCATTAAAAAAATTAGTGTGATGAAAAAGCCACAGGTCTATAGCACAAGAGGTAATGCAGTGTAAATGGGATGTTAGAATCCAGGATAAAAACACTAGCATTCTCTTCTGGAAAACTAACCCTAGAATCGCCATGCACCTTTAATGTAGTGTGAGTGGGCATCTGCTTGGCAACTGGGCTTCAGGTTTCTCTTATCCTCCAATCCCACCCCCAACCAAGCGCCTCCAAAATATGCTCTGGAGAATTGCAAGACCCCCTGGAGGAGATTTTGAGAATGCACTGGGCTCTGGGGGGCAAGTACAGAGCATGCAATAGTGCAGGGGGGTTTCTGTGGAACAAGCAGGCACTCACTGGATGTGAGTGCCTGCTTGTTGCCCAGTTTCTACATGTCAGTCCTAGCAAAACTCACTGATCAGTAAAATTGTATATATGCAATGAAAAGACAATTCAGAGAAATATATGAGGGGGGGGATGGTAGGCATCTTGAAAATTCATTTCTCTGAGGTTAGGCACATGCATAGATGGTTCAACCTGCTTTTGCAGAGAGGATGGCCGAGTTGCTTTGTGGACGCTATAATGGATTTAAAAACAGTAATTCAATTGAAAAACAGACAGCCTGGTGCCAGATACAAAGATGTGATGGGAAATGAGGCATTTTTGTGGTCAATCAAACATAGGAGATGTTTCGAGCATGGCTGCTCTTCAAAGTAAACCTCAATATTTTTAATTAGAACTGCAGCTTTTCATTTATCAGCAAGATGCCATTCCCCTGTACATGTTGGATGGTTCTTCTTCCCAGGACTAGAAATCATAAATGTTGGTGTTTATTGGCTTATAGTTCACACAAAATAAAATATCTGTCAATTATAAACTTCCTTTCATAAAATGGAAAGGAAAACATTCCGCCATCTGTTTGGCTAGTGAGAACAACCCAGAAGTAGGAGGAGGAGGAAGAGGAAGGAAGGAAGGAAGGAAGGAAGGAAGGAAGGAAGGAAGGAAAACATGTCTCCAGTTTGATGCTCAATTCAGTTTAGGTTCCTGGTGGTACAAATCAATTAAAATGATAAATACCATTAACAACATTTGATTAAAATACACACACACTGATAGTCATCACATTATTCTTTATTGATTAACATCACAGAGTTCACTAACCATTATCTAACACACTGCTTCTTTCCCAGTCTCAGTCAACCAAAATTCAGATCAGCCACAGATCAGTTTTGAGAGAGAGTTTT